CTTGCAAGCTTTGTTAGGAAGGGGCCCATGGTACGTTGTATTTGTAGTAGAGCGTTCAGGGCTACTTCTTTGTGAGGGGCGGGGTCGCTGGAGGTTTGTTTAAGGGTCCAGCACAACACCGTCCTGCAGACCTCGAGCTCCAGATTCCCCGACTCCAAACACCGGGAAACTCAGAATGCCTTTAAATACTACCCCCCCCCAACAGAGAGAGTGCACCAAAGCCCAGGTGTCTGGCATTGGGCCGGAGCCTCTGCGAGCAGAGTCTTGTAGGAATTGTCGAAGGCTCCTGGCATCTCTTGCCATGCCAGCAAGTCCAAAAGACAGGGCAGGCCATTTCTCAGCAGCTACAGCTCCACAATCCTAGGGGGAAGAGGATTTCATTTGCGGGGGCGTGGGGAGCGTCATATCGCCCTGCGCCTTAGTCCAAAGCCGAAGAAGTCCTGTAAACCTCCCAAAACTCTACAAGCCGTCTCAACGAAATCCGGAGCCGCAATTCTCAGGTCCGACTCTCAGCTGTCATCCTACCTGGGCCGCTACACGCAGGAGCCCATCGTGCTGGCGGCCAGGGCCCGTGCTTGTTTTGTGGCTTGTGGGATGGTGGTGGATTGGTTTTAAGTCCAGGGTTCTCAAAGTTCAGAGTTTATGAGAGTATCAAGAGGGCCGGATAATGCCTTCTGGAATTCTGGAGCCCGCATGCGTCGTGTCGTTGATCAAGCTGAGAGGGCCTTTGAGGGTGGCTGCAGTCTGTGGCCTTACTCTCGAAAGTCTTCATGACCTGATCCTAAATCCCTGAGCCCTATTTTGCTCTGCATGACAAAACTCCAAGTCCCTCCCCCCCCCCCTAGACAGAAAAAAACAGAAGGGCACTACCTGAGGTGGGTGGCGGCAATTACGACATCGGCCGCGGTATCTTCCAGGAGACCTCTGCCTCGAAACGTGCGCTCCGGAACAGAGCCCAAGCCATTGTAGGCCCTGCAATTGGGCTAAGGGTTTTGCTGTACAGTCCATTGTGGTTTTTCTCGGAGTTGCAGAGCTCGAGGTTGTCTCAGCTTCTACTGTTGGAGAAAAAGCCGATAGCCCTCAGCCTCATGGAGTCGCATTTCAGGAGAAGAAGTACACCTCCTACAAAGGGGGCATGCTCGAGGCTGCTGCGTGTTGCTTCCTTGTTTGCGCGAAAGGGCGGGGGAGCCAGTGAATCTCCTTAAGCCACCAGAAGCCCTAAAGCTTGCCTCGCCTTGCCTCGTAAGCCCCGCAGGCCTTTGGCAAGCTCTTCGCGGGCAACGTGCGGATATTCCAGTATCCGAACATCAGCCGGGGACCGATGGTCCATTGCCGCTGAGTGAATCGGGATGGAGTCCACAACAGCAATTCCGGACCTACTGTTTTTCTTAAAGCTAGTTGGGACTCAAAATGCTGTGTCTCGGAGATCTTTTTATTGAAGTGACAATCGCCAGACGGATCGCCAAACATCCAGATAGCCAGACATCAAGAGGTCCAAGCGAGTGACCCTGAAGTTTAGGCTCTAGGGCTCTAGGGCTCTAGAGGGTTCCTGCATCCTCAGCCCTCGAGTATCCAAGCGCCTAGCTCAGAGGCCGAGTGGTTCAGCAGCCGACGCTTTTGAATGGGTTATTGTAGGGTTGTTCGGGTCATTGTAGGGATATTCACGGGGAAGTCCTGCGGTGAGAGTTCCGAGGCCCTGACGGAGATGTCTCGGAGGACTTGGAGTTCTCCGGGCCGAAGGAGCTTGGCTCCACCCTGCTGATTGGCTTCGTGCACTGATGGTGTGGGTTCAGGCTTTTATAAGGCTGTGTTCACGAGGTGTCGATCTGTTTTGAAAGGCCAAGCTGAGATAAGCGAACACTAAACAGACTTGAGAGCACCTCACGCTTCAGCCAGGCACAGGCATTCAGCCTCACACTCCGAGAGCCCTGTCGCTGCTGCGATTGACTAGGTTGAGTGCTCGCTTGGCCGCGCAGGGCGGGATTTCACAGTCCTGGGGACAGCAAGAGAAACAGAGACAGAGAGAGAGAGAGAGAGAGAGACAGTGTCACCGACGGGGCAACAGACCGATACCAAGCTCACACAGGTGGACTCCCTCGCGAGGTATATTCCAGGGGTTGGTGGTCGGGTAGGGGGAATCCACAGTCTGGGTATCGAACTCAGCCGTGGGGGGCCCTCCGGGGTTGAAGCCCCGTGGAAGAAGAGGAAGAAGAAGAAGAAGAAGAGGAGAGAGAGTGAGAGTGAGAGGAATGAAGGAAGGGAGGCCACTTGGCTCAGGCCGGTGTATGCCAGAGCGAGAAACGGGAAATCCTGACATGACACCTTGTGAAAACACATTTGTTCCGACTGAGCCATGAGCGGGTTTAACAACATTGGCAAGCTTGGGGAAATCCTGGGGGAGGCGAACTCAAAGCGGGATTGGAACTCGATGAAACTCAGAATGGGTTTGAGAATGCAGCGGGATATGGGGACCATGGAACATTCGAAGCGGAATGAGGCGAGGGAGGGGAGGTCAAGTTGATTTGTTGCTTTTGAAAAAAATCGTGTTTTACACTGGCAACCCCTCGAGTTTGAAACTCGAATGTTCCGTAGCCTGCTGCTGATAAGGAAGAGATAGACAGAGAGAGAAAAGGAAAAAGCAACAACAGAAAGAACGCTAAGCCAATACATAAGGTACGGTGAGTCGAGCAATTCGCATTGAGGTTTTGGCCTTCCAGCCTCATAAATGAAAGCAAGAAACAAAGACAGAGACCGAGTGACAGGAGTACCTCCATCGCTTTCTGGTGAACGAAGAGAAGATCGTCCACGGCCCAGTGGGAGAAACCTGTGGAAACGGGGTTGCTGTACGGAATCGGCTGCAGAGTCCTGCGTGCATGGTGCTTGATGTGCAATATACACATACTTATATAAGTTAGATGATCTGAGCAGACCATGGTCGTACGAACTCAGCCTCGAGAACCGCTCATGCTTAGTTCTTCCATATCCAGATAGGAGTCTTTTGAAGAAGGCTGCAGCTTTTGGAGACTATCCATGACCACAAGGTCTCTATTGAGCCCTCGTACATGAACAGCTTTGCCGTCCAAAAAGACTCCAACGAGCCCTACCGCGGGCAGTCGGAGGCCAGACTGTCTGAGACGCCGGCATCAGCTCCCAAAAAACACGCTGCTGTTCCATGCCATGTTGTTCCAGCGCTACAATCGTCTTCCGCGCTGTGCGAATGTGGGGCTTCAAGAACCCAACGATATCTCAGAGTCTCATCTTTGTTTACCGACTTAGAGCCATCTAGTCGTGTATATCAGCGCATAAAGCGGCCCAAACCCCAGTCGTAGTCGACAGCACTAGCGCCAGGACGTCGTGAAGCTGATGCAGACTGGTGATACTGAATGGGAAAAGTACGTGCCCGATGAGGTCGGGTACTCCAGGTACTACTGCTTGGCATTTCAGGTTGACTCAAAGCTTTCCAGTTATTTGGAGCTACCGCGTGCCTGTTGCAGCCTGTGTCTTCCCAAAAGCCCATTCTGAAGTATGTGCTTCTGCGATCCAGTCTTGTCGGCCTGACTTGACAACCCCTTTGGCTTCGACTCTTGGTTCTCTCTTCGAAAGGTTGAAGTACTTGTTGTTGCTTTATGCTAAGCCACAGTGCTATCTCCTTGCCCATATGGATCTCCGGGCGCCCTCCAGCGCAAATTAGACGTGATTCCTAGCATTTTCTTGGCATCACGCTGGAAAGTCAGGAAGGTCAGGCCTCCCCACCCGAAACCCTCTCCCCTCTGCAAGCCCCAGCACAGACGATACCAAGCTAGGCCCACGGCATCATTAAGCAGTCCAGCTGGTTCCAGAGGCAACGACCCCGCGCAGGGGTGCACACAGTGGACTGGATTCAGGTCTTACGGTTCACAGATGGAGGTTGCTAGCTGCTAGTTATGACGCTATACGTTCAGATTCTGCTCCGTTCTGCTCCTCTGAGTCACTCGGGTGGTAGGAATGGTGGCAGCACGTTTGACCCACACATGGAAAGTGCAACTCCAATTCCAGTGTTCGATTCGGTATGTCCCTTATCCAGGGTTTAGGGTTTCGGGTTCAGGGTTTAGGTTTAAGTTTAGGGTTTTAAGGTCCCGCCCCTAAACTGACAATGTTTTAGCGCATCTGGGCAGGTACACAGCCGGGGGTGCTACATCTCAGCAGGCACACTGTGTGTGGACAGATCTTCGCATGGCAAGCACGTAACAGACCTGAAGTTGTCATGCTTTGCTCTCCTTCATCGCCTCCCTTTTCACGGGGTGCGATTTCCACGAGCTTTTTGTGAGCTCTCAGGTCATCTACAAGGCCTTTGAGGTCTTGGACGAGATCGGAAAAGAGTGAACGGCTGCGCGCCTCTCGCCTTCGTCTTCTGCCGGAGCCATTTGATGAACAAGTGCCGATCAAAATGTTTTGGGTTTAGTTATGGGAGATATTTTTAGCACCGAGGGAAGAGGGAGAATCATTCGATGTCTCCTCTCACTCGAGTGTCTGCATGTGCTTGGACATATGGCAACCGGTTGCAACTTTTAATTTTCACGGGCGTTGAGCCCATTCTTCTCCAAACCTAGTGTGTCCAGACCGCTTGTGACAGCAAAAGGCAGCCGACTTTGACACGAAATCTGTCTGTCTTGTTGCAGTCATGTTTTCTTCTTTGGCGAGTCGATGCTGCGCGTGCTTAAAGGCTTCGTGTGATTCTCGTGATGTTCGACCTGCTTTAGGGACTTTAGTGGGGGCCCCCTCTGTAAAGTCAATTTTGCCGGGCTATTCAGCAGCGTTGTGCGTGGTGGGGTCCGCAATGAGGTCAGTTCGTCCAGGTGTCGGAAGAAAGTTTCGTGCGGCGCGCCTTTAAACTCAATTGCTGGGGCTCGCCGTCCCTTTTTGAATCATATAAAAACCCGTGGGCCGCTTAAAGTTTAAAGAGAGCCAACACCAGCTTCGGCTGGTGGGGGGGGGCCCTACAGAGCCCTCCCCCTTGCCAGGCCCCGATGGTGCGGCTTGTGGAGTCCATCGAGCAGGGGCAAGAGGCGCCGCTTGGGGTCGCAGAGGAGGGTTGTAAAGGAATGGTTTTACGATGGCTTGAGGTTGTTTTGGGGGTTGACTCTAGGGATGGTTTATTGGTTTTACTGGGGGGGGGGTTTTGGAATTCAGTGAGAAGGGGTGAGAGGATCCTTCTAGGGCCATTATAAGGTTTGGAGTTTGGAGCTTTGTCTTCTCGGACTCGGACTTGGGGTTTCCTTGGGGTTCTTAGGGGCGTTAAGGCTTGAGCCGAATTTTTTGTTTCCTCCGGGTAGGTTTAAGGGGACACCCACGTCCAGACCCCGGTCCTCCCAACCCGACCCAATCACTGCCAGGCCCTGGTGCGACTGAGTGTTCCAGATGGTCAGGCCGCTTTTGAGTTCTTACTTGGTTTACAGGGGAGTTTTTGTTGACGTGGGCTGCTGAGATCTGCGATGGGCTCTGCCTCTGCACCCATACTGTGCCACTCGGACCGGCACGACGAACGTTCCCGGCAGGTATAAACCGCCTCACCTAATCGACCTCGGCCTGTTTTGGAGTGTCAATGCAAGACCCATCCGAGTCATCTTCAAAGCCTGAAAGTTTCGGCAGTTTCGGCGTCCTCAAACCCAGAACGAGCCATCAAGCACTGTTCTGAAGGCTCCGGGCTCCCTGCCAGAAGGATGCTACGTGGAGTTTCTTGACAAAAGGGGGGAAAGCAAGCAGGGCGGGGGGGGGGAGGGGGGGGCAAGGAGGTTAGAGTGGGCCGAGGTGAGAGGTGCGAGATGAATCTAAGAAGGTTGGGGCTGGAGATACCGGCATTGTGGTTGTTTAAGTTTTCAGTGTCTAGCTGCGCTTCCGATGCATGCTGCCTGTTATCGCTTGTTGTGGGGCCTTGGAGTTTTGGGTTCAGGGTGTTCTTGCCGACACGCTCCTATAGCGAACTCATTGATACCGTCACAGGGAAGCTTGTACATGAGGTAGCGCGACGATGCAGGAGCCAAAGAGCAAGCACTTGGCTTGAGAGGTTTGCTTAAAGTCGCACGGTAACCGCTAGTGGTCTGAGCAGACTTGCTGCCGTCCCATATTCCCCAAGGTTTGCGGACGTCCGGGGCTGCGATGCTTTGGCTGCAATGATATTGCTCAGGGATCCACAGAAGGGCTTAGGAGGACACACGGATCGCACCCCGAGGTTCTCGTTGCCAGAGGTTGCCGGAGCTGCATCAACGATCCTACAGCCATCCTTCTACAGCCTGGATGTACACAAACTAACCATCCTGTATGCGCTTTAACTTGCAGGCCGATGGTGTAGACTTCGGGATGGCAGAGGGGGGGAACCACTGAGGACGGAATCTCCACGCACCAGGAGCAGACACGGGCCAGTTGGGATCCTTCAGTTCTCAAGGATGTGGGTCTCCTTTTCAGGCAGGGTTGGCCTCTGATTGGCCCCGAAAGTGTCTTACGTCCCAAAAGACTGCAGGAGCCTTCCCCCTGTGGGGAGCACGTCACAGCCTGGATGCTTGGATGCAGCCAGAGTGAGGAAATCAAGGTGGCATTTAAGAGCCTTACGTTCGGGTGGCCTGCGATCCCCCGCGGCTCCCTCACAAAAACAACTCCACCCTCCCTGTCCCTTAATAACTGAACGACACGACGGCTCGTCGTTGCCTGCCATATTGCGGGTCCTGCTTGCAGCCCGATTCAGATTTGGCAAGGCGTGAAAACATCGTGAAACGTCGAACCCCTCGTTAGTGACGAGCTCGGACGCGAACCCTCAGCAGCGCTAGTGAGGCCAAGTCAGAGCTTGTCCTGATTCGATCCAAGAGGTTTGGTGACATGCACGACCCAAAAAGCTCTCTCTCTCTCTGCAGGAGCTGTCAAAGACACCCAAGAACGCAAAGAGAGGGCCCCAAACCCTAACAGTCCTCAAAATATCAGATCCTTGTGTCCACCAAGGAAGATCAGCTCGAAGCCAGGTGATCCCGCTGGAAGCCCAGGGTCGGTATCGGGTATATACATGTAGGTGTATTGCTTTCATGACTTACATGCTGCGCAGGTTCACAGACTCTCCCCCGAAAGCCGATCGAGAGTTGAACCATAGGAACACAGCAGAACCGATGTCGATAGGCACCGCCAGAGTACGCGGTGGCTTGGGGTACCTACCTGCAATCACAGCCCTGAAGCGACTAACAAAAAGCAACACCTCTCAGCACAGGTCTCCTCAAGCCCACATCGCCTCATTGCGAGGTGAACTCCATCCGCATTGGAGACACTTCGAGCTTCCCTCCCTACATCTCGGGCGGCCTCGTCACGGAGAAGAAGGCGGCAGTTGGACCCCCCATGCCTGAAATTTGCTTTTTACGCCGGGGCAACAGCCCCAGCATGAGAACCTCAGGAACTGCTTGGCTACAAATCGTCAACCCCAAGAGCCCTCCTGTCCAGGTTGGCGTCCCATATGCCTTCAAGTCCCTTGCGGAGTCCTTGAAGGAACATGCAGACACCATGCCTGATGATTGGGAAAGCTTGGAAGATGGATAAATAAATCAATAAGTATATACATGTATGTATGTATGTATATATATATATATTAACTCCTAGACCTGCCGCACAAAGCGGGCAGGACCCTGGAATGCCATTCGACAACATGGCTGCCTGGCGGCACTGCTTTTTCACTGGATCCTTTTCAAATTGGGCAGACGAGTGGTAGACTCGAGCCAATGCCTGTAGCCAAGGTGGGAACCGACATGATCAACTTCGGTGCGAACCTCCGAGGGAGGGGGGGTGGGATAGGGATTGTTTCGCAGCCCAAAACCTACTCGTCAGAATACCTAGACAAGGGTTTATTTAGGAGGATCGTGAGGCGGAACATGAGAGTTCGGGGGCCAACTTAGATACCGACAGGCCTTTGGACTGCAGCCTTGAACCCTAAACCCAAAACACTCCCAAACGCAAGAGGCTCCGAGCTGCAGAGCCACGTGCTGCTCCACGCAGCTCTGAGCGTTGAAGTACCCTGGATGACATGTTGCTGCTTTCTGTTTTCTTCGAGCGATTTTTGTGTGGGTGCATCTCCCAGATGCATTACATTACATATTTGTATAGTCATAGTTGAGGCTTGAGCAGGCGGCTTAGGTTTAGAGAACACGGGTGTGCGTGCCCAATCATGTTGAATTGGGGTCAGCTGGAAGGCCTTGGTCGCATTCGCATGACCCGAGTCGGATTGTTTCTTTACGTTGAACTTTGAACTGCGATGCACGGCGCTATATATACATGAGCTCGGGAAGCAGGTAGAACAGCCATTTGCTGCACAGCAAGCATGACACCCTGAGCCTAGACATCCTCCCTCAAGCATTGTTGGGTGGTTTGCTTGCACTGCATCCTTGCGTCCGCAGCGCGCCGCTACACAGCTCAAGGCCGCATTTGTTTACGAGCCGGGCTGCTCTTTAAACTGCCCGTTCGGACCTTCAGCTTTCCCTGTTATTCCAGGTGCAGGTTGCTCAAAAAATGGGACAGTATTGAAAACCCAGGAGAGATGTGCTCACCAGTTGACGCAAACAAGCGCTTCATTGGCGCTTAGAGCATCCAAAGCAATTGAGTACGAAGCACCAGGCACAGCCAGGCAGTGCTGCTTATCAAATTGGGGGGGGTACAAGTACTTGGCACGGACAGACGTCCCAGATTTTGTTTCACGACTAGTGGCTGTGACCAGCCCAACTCACTAGTGATCTCTTTCGAAGGTGCTCTCGGCCTGTTTGGCTTTTGACGTGCAGGACTTCTGGCTTATGGACCATGGTTTTAAGGCTGCATCTTGCTGCATCTTTCGATATTCATCATGCCATGGAGCATTGCACCCTACTGCAACACTGTACGTCTCCAGGCCAGGTGCCTTTCCTCCAATCATGGCTTCCGACACTGCGCGTGGGGCCTAGCCAAGGAGAGAGGCCGCCTGAAAGACAGAGAGAGATAGAGAGGGCTTACACCCCAGGCAGAGAGAAGAAGAAGAAGACGAAGAGGAAGAGGAAGAAGACGAAGAAGAAGACGAAGAAGACGAAGAAAAAGACGAAGAAGAAGAATAAGAAGAAGAAGAAGAATAAGAAGAATAATAAGCAGAAGAAGAAGCAGAAGAAGAAGAAAACACAGAAGAAGAAGAAGAATAAGAAGAAGAAGAAGAAGAAGAAGAAGAAGCAGAATAACAACAATAATAATCGGAAGAAGAATAAGAGGAATAACAAGAAGAAGACGAAATGAGAAGAAGAAGAGTGAGAGAGTGAGAGTGAGAGGGATTGAGCCTTCGCCGGGGGAAGCACGAAGAGTATGGGCATGTGCCAGTGCTGCCCAACAGCCTACAGTCCGTGCATGTCCATGCACTAGCTAGGCACGCAGGCGCACGCGCACGCACACGCACACAAAACGCACGACAAACACCCACTCACCGCCTACGCCCGCCGGCCGGATGCACCCACCCATCCGCCCATGCAAGGACACTGGCACGAGGTCCGCTTCGTATAAGTTTTGTATCGCGGCTTTTCATGGAAGCTCCATTGAAAGATTTCGCAATGGTGGAAAGCAGACCGGCAAGCTCGCCACGCACATCGCTTCAACCCCAGCCCTCACGTCGACATGACAGCAGGGCAAGCTTCGCTCCACCTACCCCCTGGGAAGAAGAAGAAGGAACAAGAAGAATCATAAGAAGAAGAGCGGGAGAGAGAGAGAGAGAGAGAGTCTTGGGCTCGATGGTTAAAGTGCATGAAGCCATGCTCTCAACACTATAACGCCACTCAAAGTTACAGCCTTTAAAGAGCCCTCCGAGCCTGCCTCCAAGCCCCTGCTTTCTTTAGGCCGATGCCTTTCTTCGTCCGAGAGAAGGAGTTTTTGAAACTCTACGGCTCCGAGCTCGGACGATGACCAGCGAGTTCTGGGCTTTGCTGGGGCTCTCCTCGGGTGGTTCAGGGGCTTTTTTCATGTTTGGGGTTCAAGGTAGGATTGAGGGTTTAGGGCTCCCCAGTCGACCTTCAGGACCGGTATACCTTCGGCCAACCCCAAAAGTCCTCAAATGGGAAGTTGGGTCATCTGTGGCGACGATGGCCGCGGCAGACGCTCCACAAGGTCGACTGATCCTTGCGTCTCCCCTTCACTCTGAAAGCTGCTCGAAGAGAGACTGACCCGGAGCCCTTCGAAGTCCCAAACCCCAAACGTCACGAGATCCAAGCAAACCCTGCACCTAAACCCTAAACTGCCCTAAACCCTAAACTGCCCTAAACCCTAAACCCTAAACCCTAAAGCCTAAACCCCAACCCAGGCTTTGGTACGTCGCAGATTGAGGAAGCCCAGGCCAGGTCTCTGGGGAATCCTTAAGCCCTGAGTAGCCACTTCCCCTCTTGCGCAGCCCGGGTCTCATGTTTATAGGGTTTAGGGCTTAGGGCTTAGAGGGTTTCGGGTTTAGGGTTGGGGTTTGGGGTTTGGGGTTTGGGGTTTGGGGTTCGGGGTTCGGGGTTTGGGGTTTGGGGTTTAGGATCCTATGCCACCCCCCCTTTAACTACCCCTCCTACCCAAAAAGTGAGGCACGGGATTGTAGATGGGCTCCAATGCATCTCTACCGCTTCCGCTTTCTGTGCAGGATCAGGTTCCCTTATAAGTCAACAACCCCGAACCCTGAACCCAAAAACTTAGCAGCAAGAAGCTGCTTTTCCGTGGGTTGCCAGGGAGGGAGCCCAGGGTACATCGCTTCGTTTTTGTTGTACCGGGCTTTGGGCGCGGGACTTAGGATCCGGATGCCCAAACATAAAAGCCCCTGGGCCCAAGTTTGGGTTTGGGTGCCTCAAAGTCCTACATTTGAAGGCTCCAGTTGGTGATCTGTGGCTTGGGTCAACGACCCGTGCCTACACCTTTAAAGCCCCAAAGCCTCGAGCCTTGAATCTGAAGCTACTTTGGCTCTTGGAACTCTGTTCACCTTTTGGTGCCCTCAGCGTTCGACCCCTCCGCCCTCCCCATGTTCTGTCCCAAGTCTGTTTTCAGGCGCCACCTTTCCCTCTCGCGCTGCCCAAGGCGTGGGCTGAATCAAGAGGGTTTTGGAGTGAATTTTCAAAAGCTGAAAACCTTGTAGTGTGCAGTATCAGTGCGAATCTGGCAAAGTTTAGCCGCGGTTTGACGCAAGGTTGTGTCAGACTTCCCAAACGCTATCCCTCAATCAAACAAAAACCTCAATTCCGCGAGCCCTGAACCCTCTCAAAAAGCCCAATTGGCCTTCGTGATTCAGAAAGTGACATGAATCAGAAAGTGAAAAGGGCTCAGACCACAACACCATCCTTGTGATACTCACACAATCCCTGTCTCCATGGCAGTTTAAATGTTCCACGGGATGTTATCTGTAGCGGACTGCAGTCTTGCCCGGAGCGCGGCATATTGCCGAAGCTTTTTCTGGCACAGCTTCATATTCCTGAGCTGTTGTGTCAAGTCTGGACAAGTTGCCTACAGTCCAACCATGGAGAACATAAGGTGCGTATTTCATGCTGCTTACTACTCATGTGACGAGAACGCATGGAATAAACATATCAAAATGAAAGCAAACTTGAAGAGAGTGATGTGCATGAACGAACTTCTTATGCTGGTGCTGGAGTTTTGCCGCTATGCGACTGTCACGCGAGATGTGTTTTTCCTGCGTTCTGAGGCCTCTAGAGCCCAAAACCCTTACGCCACGAAGTCCCAATGTTCTCTGTGAGTTTCTTAGGCTGCCTCATGGTGTCCTTCGGGCATTGCCTTAGCAATGGCTCGGGGGCCCAGCGCGGCATCTTCGATGTGCGTGGCGGAGATGTAGTGGACATCGGGCATCAAGGCGTTTACAGTTTACACTTTACATGTCTCGTGTAGGGGGTTGTAGGGCTGGGTTCTGGGGGCTCAGGGGTTTCTTAATGTTTCTTAGATTCTGGGTTCTGTAGGTCACTGTAGGTGAAGAGGCTTGGAGTCGAGGGCAGCGCAGCCCAAGTTGGAGACTCGACGACAAAAATTGCAGCACAGTGATGCGAAACGCCCACCTAACCTCCTACCCTCTCCGAATCTCTCCTGCAGCCCTCGATCCTCTCCCCAGAAAAAATCAGGTCGATCCAGTGCAGGGGCCGCGCGTCGCGGTCTTTGAGTCGGCGAGTGGGACCTCACTGTCCGGGCCCGGAGGTTTTGGGCGGCTCAGGGCTTTTTGGTTGTGAAGCCTTTAGGCATACTCCTGAGTCAGGGGCTTCTGGGTTTATGACTTCTGCCCTGTTGAGGGCTTGAGGCGTCATCGTGTGAGCGTGTGTGGGGGGGGGGGGGGGGGGGGGGGGGGGGTGTGGGGCTGTCTTCGTCAAGGGCTTTGCTTTCCTGCTTGTGGTTGTAGGATCGGATGGGGTGTTCTTTTTCTGGCACTAAGGCAGGGAATTGCTTTTGCTGGGGTGCCATTTGCATGGCAAGGGCAAGGGCTGAACATCGAGGGGCAGGGAACTGCATTGTTCCAGATGTGCCCTCGCGACAGAAGAGATTCTACGTCTGTACACCTTTTACCGACTCTGCAAAAGTCCTGAAACGATAGCCATCCTCGGCTCCGAGCCCAGCCCAGCACGCTTCAGGTCCGGTGCCACTCTTCTGGACTTACCCAAAGCCCCGAAGAACGCCTTCACCTTCATGTGGCCAGGATCCCTACGCATAGGTGTCCGTGGCCAGGAGTTTAGGGCGGTGTTTGGGAAGACTGGAGCTCGGTGGACATGAGCTCGGTGGCTTCAGTGACTTCGAGTCTGAAAACGGTGCATATGCAGGCTTCGGGACGTAGCCCCCATGGCCTTCTTAATCTAAGATGGGTCCCTTTACTGTAACCTGACCTGTCAATTCTACGGACACAACACACGGGGGGCCTCGAATGGGAATCCGCCAAGGTCTCCACAGGGTTCGGCGTTGGTGACGATTGCGCCGGGCGGAAAGAGCTTGCAGGAGGGTGGAGTGGTACTTAGGGTCGGTGCCGTTGGATATGTCCCTGGGCCCCACAACAAATTCAAAGGAACCTGAATCTAGAGGCCCATATGGTTAGTATGTAGCTTCGCGCATCAAACCCCGAGCCCTGTACTTCTAAGGGCCTTAAGCCCCAACGGTGAACATCCAAGAGCACCCCAAACTCCCAGAACGCACAGCAGTCCAACCCCGAACGTTCTAAAGCCTAAACGCTTCACACTCCTCAGCCCTGAGCCCCAAGCCCTCAGCCCCGATCCCCTGAACCTCTGAGCCCCCAGGAGGCCAACGTGCACGTTTGGCGCCGCGCCGGGGCGGAGGGTCCCGGTGCGGGTGCTGGCGAGGGTGGGGACTACGAGCTGCAGGCGGGCTTATTGGCGATTGGGAGATTTTAAGTGAGTGAGGGGTTTGGGTGACTGGTTTGCAGGGGATGTTACAGGCCGAAGGTGGCGCGGTCATGACCAGTCTGGGTAAGAGGAGCACTTTAAAGGCCCACAAGCGTTCCTTGAGCATCAATGTCTGAGAGCACCACTCTGCCTGCTCCAAAATTGACGAGACTTCCTAGCCTGCAAGCCCGAGAAGCGGAAAATGCGGAAAAAGACTGTAGACTACCCAAAAGATGAAAGGGGAGCTTTAACAGAGTTGCAGGATTGCGCGTCATCAATCCGTGACTTCGTTCAGGCTGAGCAGTAGTTTTTAAGGGCCGGAGTTCATGTATCGCGAAAGACGCAAGGCATCTTTCTGCCACCCGAAGCTGGAGAAGGACAAGAAGGCGTCGGCGGCCACTGACAGCTTGTAGCAGGGCCAGAATGTGCCACAGAAAGTGTGCCTGGAAGAATTGAGGGCGAGGGATGCGCACATTGATCATTGGGATTTCAGTCACATGGCCATAAAGACACGGCGCAGTCAGGGAATCCAAAGCTGTGGAATCCTGTGGAAGCCTGAACACGACCCTCACAGCGTGAGGTGCTGCAATGGACCGCAGATGAGAACCTGTGCGCCAGGCTCACGCCGGAAGGCTCGAAGCTGCAGTGCTTTCTTTCTCCTCTGTTATCGAAGGAGTCTAAGCTTGATAGGCGGCTCGGAAATGCATCTGACATGTTTTTTGGAAGTGGAAGTTGGGACTGGGCCTGTGAACGGAACACCCAGCACATGTCCTGTAGACCTTCATCCAGTGGAAATGTCTCTGGTGTGCTGGCCACGGAAGAGGTGGTTAGGGACCATGTCAATCACACACTCGGGATCCCATGTTGCACTTCCGCCTGCCCGCCGCACTCCAAACCCCCGCAGACTGGAAAAATGATCGCAGATGAACAAGTAATGCATCTGAAATAAGTGACCTGCTAGTTCCAATAGCAACATACCCACCAAGTTAACTGAGCCTCAGGGAAAATCATCCTCTACGACGGTGCCAACCTGGGGGTGGATCATCTCATCGAGTTGGCGGCGTGGAGCCCGGGTTCAGCAAAAGAAAGACTTAGGGTACGACAAATGCCCCCTTGAAAGTTTGAGGTGTCCTTCGATTGTTTAGGTTCACGCATCGGAGCCCTGCAGGCTCCGAATCGTGGGAGTATCAGAACGAAACGAGGCTAGAAATCGAAACCGTTGCGATTTCACGGGCCAATTACGATCAGCCCGATTCAGGCTCGCTTTCTGCCCTGACGTCTGTTGTTCCAGAATCATGGCTAGGGGGGTTGGGCTTGAGGGGTGCGAGGGCGGGCTCAGAGCTACTACTGGTATGTAGCCGCAATGTAGCCTTTGTTTTGCCTTCTGGAGTAGCATCAAAGGTTGAGGCTGCGGTTCGGGAGAAGAGAGGTTCTCGTGAAAGCTTTTCTAGAGCTTTCGTGGGAAGTTTGTAGCATCGTTTTATTTCGTCATTGATATTATATGATCACTTGCTGTATGTTGAATTTGTTAGTATATGAGTTATATGATTGTAATGCCTCCCTTCCCTCCCCTCTTCCCTGAGCCGTTTTGAGCCCTGGGGCCGACGGGTTTCTGGTGCGCCAGAGGTCCAAAACGTGGCAGGCTTCGAGTTTGCATCCATGACGGCCGCGGCCTCAGTTACCAAGAAATTAGAGCAGAAATTAGAGCAATTTATAGCGAAACTTCGCTCTTAGCCGAATGCTACAAGCTCAATGCCGAAAGCCGCCCCAAGGGCTCGGAAGAGTGCTTCGCGCGCTTGGCACTCTTCGTCGCGGACCAGCGGGATGACCTGCAGCGGGTCGTGGGCCCTGCGGAGGCAGGGGTGCTCACGAAGGCTTGTGTAGGCCGTGCAGGCTTTGGTGTGGCTAGCGCTTAATTGTGTGGCGAAAGCTCGCGGAGTCAGGCGGATATACACACATTTTGTGTATGTACATGTACAAGTATATGTATATGTAGATATGTACAAATTTACATACATACGCCTACAGATAATAACTACTTGAGTGCAGCAGACATTTTTGCCTGGGGGTTGGTGGGAGGGTGCGGGGGAGCCAAGTGGTCCCCAATGTACAGAGTTGTACAAGTTTTGGAAATCAAGTTTTCGTACTGGCGGCACAGCTGCTCTCTCAGAATCGTAGACGACGGGGTGACAAGAGGCTGCTGAGGCACCGGACAAGCGAGATGTTGGTCCTCTCTGCACAGCTGCACCTTGTAACATGAAGTATTACTTAGAGGCAAAAAATCGGGCTGAAGGCTTTTGAGTGCCGATGGGCAGATTGCAACAAGCTGAGTGCTCGGAACCAGATTGTCCAAAACGCTTGATGTTCTCAGATGTTCTCTGCCCAGAGGCTGGCCAAAACTCAGTAGCTTCTCAGGATCTAGGTTGCAAGGCAGACGATGGAGTGCTGAGCACGGCATCTGTACAACACGCCGAGCAATGAGCAAACAGTCAAGTATCCGGGCCAGGTCTCCATTCTCGAGTCCGGGGCTGAAGCAGCTCTAAGCAGTATGCAGGGAATTGGGAGCTTTTCAGGGTTCAGGACCGTTGCTGGGGTGCTGAAGGACTTGTGCTGCCATTCACCCAGCCACGTGGGCCCCTCACCTCGCTTTGAGTGGTAGTCCTTGATCTGGAGACCTCTCCAGAGAGCGCCACAACCCTGCAAGCAGCCATCAAAATCCACGATGGACCCCAAGCCCGAAACCCCGAAGCACTGCCCCTAAACTCCATAACTTACAACGAGAGCCTGACTCAGGCTCAGCGTGGATGAAGAGGGCATACACGCAACGCCCTGCGCGAAGATGAGCTTTGCTGGCGCTGTTGATGTGGGGACTTAATTGCCTCATGTCACTGTCAACAGCGTAAGTACCAGCACTGCATGCATTGCACCAACAATCCTCGAACTCGGCCCGCTTTGAGCCTTTTCTCAGATGACCGCAACTCTTTGCGAAGAGTCCGCCGCTCCATGTGACAGGTGTGACGTGTGGACAGGCGAGACCCGCGGATTTGCCCCATACCCCCATTGTATAAGCCTCCTAAGACCCAGCTGCAAGCCCCTTTCCAGATGTCGTCCGAGCAACCTCTGCTGAAGTTTCGCCCAAGCAGAGAAGTTCTTGCGGAGAGATCACACGGAACATTTTCCGATTACAACCAATGACAAACGCTGAAGCCCTTAAGCCCCGAGTTCTCCCTGCCGCAGGTGGCCGACCTGTTGTGGAACAACACGGGAAGCTGCCTGCCCTGGGCTTAGTCTTAGTTCAACTCACCATGTTTCAGATCTTGGGTTCAGGAGAACAGACCCGGAAAGTTGTGGTCGTTGGCGGTGGGCCCTGAATCCTAAACAGCCTAAAGCCCAAACATGCACAAACCCTGGCGGAGCTTTATTTGCAGAACCCTTGGGGCAACCAGGATCGCCCACTGCCAGACGGAGGTGGATGAGACAGGCGGGGGGTTTGAGACAAACCTCAACCTCCATTTATGGGGGCTTGGGTTTAGGGTTGCAGGGTTCAGGGTTTAGGGTTTAGGGGGCTCAGTGTACCCAAAAGGGCAACCGCAATTGAGAGAACTGCCCATGTCATCCATCGTCGTCGTAGCTCGCACTCCTTTGCACCCTTCTCCCCGCCTTCCCACGAGCCGCAGGTCAGAGCTACTATGGCGGGTCACGGCTGGCCTTCATGCCCGGGGCTGCAGGGTAAACCCCGCAAAAAACCAGGGTCTTCCGCTCTCATGACTCAGGTCGCGTGCGGGGGAGGTCAGGAAGGATTTGACAGATGAAGAGTGCCAGGGCGGCTGCGTCCAGGCCGGGACGGTCTTCACAGTTCCGAAGCACTCAGCGACGCTTCTGATCGCGGGGTTTGCGATCCCTCCTCTTGCGTGCTCCAGGTCTGTTCCGAGCGAGTTGCAGACCCCATGTAGTCTACACTAGGCTCATGTCGCTATAGTCACTACTGTAGAATGTACCTGCGCAACACCTGTGTTACTGTAGCTGGCCGGCAGGCTGTGTCGTGGAGCCCGACACGCGACGAGTTCATCCTCATCTCAGGCCTTTGGTTTGGACCCCTCCCAGCCCAGCTGAATTTGCTCAGCCTAATTGTATTTGGCAGAGTCGTGACGAGCCGAGTTGCATTGCTTTCACTGCGTCGGCTGGAAACACTGGCAAGGCTTCCAGCCTGCCAAAGCCACGCTTTACGTCTGGGACGAGAAGCCCGCCTCAGGGGGAGGGTCATTGAGACTTGATTAGGGTCATTGAGACTTGATTTGAGGGGTTTCATCTCAGGGTCTGTAGGACTTGTGGGGCCCTCGGTTTTCGGAGCGTGCTGCTTTGCAGAAAAGCTGCTTGGCAACCAACCATTCTTGCAGCCGCCAGCTCTTTTGTCACTACCGCCAACATCCGCCAACTAGGCACATACCCCGGACAGGCCCTTCACCGCGCCCCAAACAAAGCATTCCTTCGCAGGGCCAAGAAGGTGTCCTCGAAGAAGACGTTGCTGGAGAAGGCCTCAATAGCCCAAAGACTTTGAACCTAAGCCCCAGCGTTGCGAATTTTCATGTTTGGAGCACTGACAGGAGAGACATGGAAATCAAGGAATGTTGCGGCGCGAAATGGTGCAAGTCAGGATGATACGGCAAGAAACTGTAGTGCAAAGCATGAAAATGCAAGGTAGGCAGGTAAGACGGGGGTAACGGAACGTACAGTGGTGGTGTGTTTTCGTGTATGTACTTGTGTATGCGCAAGTGTCCGAGCCATGTGCGTAGGTATGTACGTGTGTATGTGTGCACGTCGTGACATGTCTTGTCCTTCTTCGAGTTCTTCAATATTCTGCTAAGCATGGTTGAGCCTGCATCAAGACTCCTAGGAGCTCAAGAAAAGTCATCCCCGAAGCAACAGGCGCACAGGAACACCATCCGCTACAACTCCTTCGGTTCCCTGGTTTGCCTCGCTGGCTTCGGGAACCTGGCACACGCCTCGGAGCCGGTGTTGCCAGAGCATATGCCCTCGTGCAGTTCTGGGATTGAGCGTTACATGACTGTTACATGAAAGGAACGCCTGAGGTACTTAATTCTTCTCTTCCATCTTCAGAGGACGAACAGGAGCCCTAAACTTTGAGCACTTTTTGCCCCAAGAGCCCTAGAATTGTTTTGACGTCGCTCAAAAGGCTGAACCCCCAACATGAAAAGCACGGCATGACATAGCACTACCAAAGGCTGGCGGCGTGGACTTTTTCGGCCGGGAGCTTGGACCAAGTGAAGGGGCGGGGCGTGAAATGCAGAATCAACCTCTCTGACACGAGGTTCACACATAACACGTCATAGCACCAAACTCCGAGTTCTAGAAATGTCCGAGGCCGCGAAGAGGATGATTACGTTCACGTGTCGAGTTGCACCGCCAACTGCACGGTCTCAGCAGAGCTGGGGCCCAAGATATGGAGCCGCACTGCGCTTGAAGTCAAGGTTAAGTTGGCCCGGTTGGCCCCACCCTTGTTTGCAACTCTGACTATGAAATCACATTTCTCTGCACTGCCCACAAGGCGGTGCATGTCCACCATCCTTGAATGGATGACCACCATTCCGAGGTGGGCTCCAGATGGGCGCCATTTCTTGACGGCGGTGCTCGCACCGCGCATGCGAGTGCGGGATCCTGGAGGAGTTTGGTCAGAGGCTGTGCATGTTTCCGCGGAACCTGTTAATAGCTTCTGCGGGCCCTATATTGCTCCTTCAGCGTAGACTTCCAGAATACCCGGTAATCGGCCCTACAACCCCTCAACCGCTCTCCAAGGTGGACAACGGAATCAGCGTTTGGCATGCCCTAAGCGGCTCCAAGGTGTGCACGACTCCGTTTGAGGAGCGGGGACGGAAAGGCTGCACACTCTTACGGTTTTCAGGCCCTAGGTGTCGCTAGCATTCGACTTGAAACTATCAACCGTCAACGTCACAGAGAGATCACGTTGATTCTTTCAGGGGCATTTGGCACTGAGCCTAGAGGGTGCTCGGTCTCTGCTGGCAGAAGCTTGCGATCGATCGAGAGCTTAAGTCGGTTTAGGAGATTTGGGATTTAGGGTTCTTTAAAGCCCAAGTCCTGAATGGTTCGTTGAGTGTTCAGCACGGGCGCTGCGGGATGTCTTTGCATTTCGGGGTGCAGAGCCCCTATGGAGGAAGGAACCCTCCGTGCACTACATGTGTCACAACAGGTAGGTACCTGATTTGGAACAAGCCTCTGCGGCGTCCCACGGTGGGCGCCACTTCTTCGTTCACGAGGAATACCGAACCGATGCCCCTGTCGAGTTCCAAGTCCCTGTTGGATATGCCACGGACCTGACACCAAGTTGCATGATTATCACACGCACACGCACACACACCGTGAATTAACGAGTTAGATATTCTACTTATCTCGTTGCTTTGGAAGATCTTGAGGTTATGTGAACTACCAGCTTTACTTCTTGGACCTGGGCCCACGAAGTTAGAGGGCTGTGTGGGACGTGAAAATCCTTCTGCCTTCTTAAAGGGAACCTTACACCCCAAACCTCAACCCTAAACCCTCAACCCTAAACCCTAAACCCCTAAACCTCCCCCCCCCCCACGCGCAACCTCGCAGAGGAGCTCTTTGATGTTCAGCCGCGCGCTCGAAAGCTCCAAGAAAGCTCCAAAGTGGGGTCCCGGTTGCCGGACATCCTATGCTACCCCTATGCTGCCCTAAGCCCGTTGTGGTAGGCTCCCAACATAGTAGGTGATTGTGGAGTCTGGTAGGGCCTCGAATGTAGGCTCCTGCGTGAAGAATGCAGTTGCTTCATAGGTCCCAGGTTCGGTGCGTAGATTTCTTCGGTTCAGTGTGCATGTCATCACAGTCTTGTCGTGAGGTAATGGAAGTCTGAGGACGCGACCACATCCCAAAGCATCCCCTTCCCAACAAGTCCAGCAAAACCACCACACCGGAATGTTGCCGTAAACCGAACTGGAACTCGATCCTGAGAGCCCTGCCCCCCTCAATCCTGGATCGTCAACGTGAAGCATCCCAAACCCCATTTGTTGAGGTGGCGGCCTCTCCCAGATTCGAAGTACACGGATATCACAAGGGACGAGATCGTCACTGCATCAAAGGAACATGGGAGTTTCCGAAGACACAGTACTTCCAGATCCGAAATGTAGGGTTTTTGTGTTTTCGTATGTGCTCAGGAACTGTTTTCTGGTTTCGGCGATTTGCTGTCGGCAATGTTCACGATTCGATGACAAAAAACACATTGTTTCGCAGGGGGACCTCCCCTGTGAAGTCAAGGTTGTCGGGCTATTCAGGATCTTGCGACTGAGGGGTCCGCGATAAGGTTTTCTGGACATCTTAAGAATATTTTCGTGTGGCTACTTAAGGCACCCCTTCCGGGGGGGTGCCGAGGGAGTGGCCCCCTTCTGAAACCAGGGGGGGGGTATCCCAACATTATCCGACGTCGGCTGTAAGCATGGCGCAGCTGTTGAGACCGCTTCCTTGTAGTCGACCTTCTAGCAGACCTAGAGACGACGAGAATATAAATCACAAAGCCCGGGCTGAGCTCTTCCGCGGGCAATGGTGCCTTGTAGCATGCATCAAGGAGCTCACCCAAACTCCAATGTCCAAAATGAGTGCCCTTGTCGCAGGAAGACGCCAAGAACGTCGTTGAAGCCGGGGCACAAAAGAAGCAGGCCACCGAAGCTCGAATCGACGGGACAACCCCAAGATTCGGATGGCAGTTGATAGCCCCAGCATGCTGGTCGCCAAGAGGATGACAAGTCCCTCCCGCCCCCCGCCCTCCAACAGATCGCTGTTTCCAGGCTTACCGACCACCAAAGGCTCGTGGCGAGACCTCCAATATGGTCAGGGCCCTGCTCGGATTCGTCTTCTGGGCTTTCTGGGGCTTTGGCCGAGGGTATGCAAGTCTCAGGGCTTATGGGGCTTTGGATTGTAGGGCTCTGTTTTCGGGACTGGTTGTAGGTGCCCAGAATCGATGACAAAGCCAAAGGCCTCCAGGGATGCAGTGCCTCGGCCACGTTGTGGAAACCAGTTCATTGCAAGATCTCCACAAGCTGCTCTTTAGCTGCTATATAGCCACGGCTCAAACGAGCTGGCGCGTTGTTTGTCCACTCCCTGCCATCAGATGCTGCTTTGTGTATGCCCCGTCAAGTCTTGCAATCGCCATCCGTACCTTCCCATCGCGCTGTGGTGCAACGAAGGCAAAGCCAACAGAGCCACAAAGCGACACACCTTTGGAACTTAGAAGTCGATGCACGGTGTATGCTATAAACATAAAGCACAGCCCCATCAAGTTGCAATGTTTACTGTCCATCTACAGCTGCCAACTCCTGAAAAGCATCCCCCAGCCGGGCCCTTTGAGGAACTCTTCCTCAACCTTGTGTTGTTCGGGTGTTTTCATTGCCATGAACGTCCAGAATTTTGCCGGAGGAAAGAACACCCTAAAGGAACCCCGAACCGACATCGAGGTTGCGCAGATGATGCGAGGTGAGGTGGCTGCACCGGAAGATGCCCCGTCCCGAGTAGTTTTGGAAACCCAGGGCTCCTAGGGCCTTCGTAATTTGAGGCTGTGGCGTCTCTAGCAAGGCTTCGGTTTCGAGTTGGGAGGAGGACTTGAAACACCTGAGCCATGCTGAACTTTCACAAGTTTGCTTGTATTTGCACGTTCGCTGTAGTCACTGTGGCCCTTGGCACGTTTGGTTAGGATGGGGGCCATTCCTGTGGCTGGCTATTGCAGGTCCGATTGAGTTTCATAATCTGGGGGTTTACGAGATGAGGGACACCTTAGTGGGGTCCTTATTATAAGGGGATCCTACTATTTGGGGTCTGTTTTAGGGTCCCCTATTTCCGTAAACCCCAATGTTTCCAGGGGCTGGAAACTCACGACTCTCTGCTTCATAAGGTTGCAGCTCGTGTCGCATTGCCTGCTACAGTTTCAAGTGGCAGACCCACACTATGTCGCATGCTTTCGTGCCTGCTCTTCCCAGACTCGACTGACTAGCAAGCCTTCGCCTTTCAACCTCTAGCTGAAACCCGAAACCCTGAAAGGGTTTTGGGGTTCTTTAGACTCCTAGACTGCAACAAGGACCGCCGCACAAGGAAGGCGCGACAGCAGCGGCCGTGGCCCCAGAAAGCCATATGATCATGTGGAGGAAATTCGAGGCCACTGTGAAGTTTAGGGTTTCTCGAGCACTGTGAAGTTTAGGGTTTCTCGCTTGCCCCGAGATATTCAAGCCTGCCTCCATAAAATGAAAACGCTTTCCGGCAGAGAGCACACGGTGATACCGTGCTGCAGCCCAGCAGCCCTCGAAAGCGAGAGCGCACCACCTGTAAAGCCTAAACCCTACGTCTGAATATATGGGAAAAGCAGAGAAGAGAGTGCTGATGGCCATGAACCTCGAAGCCACAACAGCCCGAGCCCCACTACGCGGAGGACCAAGGAAGAAGAAGCCACTGGTCCAGACGACTCAAAGGAGGCCCGCAACGAGAAGCAAATAGCGAGAGAAAATGAGAGAAAGAGATTGTAGGTCTACCCGGTCCTAGCGTCCTTGCCCCGGGGAGAAGAAGACGAATCATTTGGAATGGCCTGACGGTTTTGGAGCTGTTGGGGGTTTGGGTCTGTTGGTTTGTAGGGCTAGGTGGGGCTGTTGGGGCTTCATCGTGCCAGTGGAATTCAGAGTCCGATCCGGGTGTTGGTTGCAAAGGAGGCCTGCAGAGCTTTGACGGGTGCGGGGTGGGGGGCTGCAACTTGCATGCTGTTGAGAGGGTGTGAGTTGGTTGAAGTTTAGAGAGTCTACCAAAACCTTCAAGCCAACCCTCCGTATCCAAAAGTCCCCTCATGTCCTGCTGAAACCCTCAAGCAAGATGAGACTTTGAATGCCATGTGCTTTGACAAGCCAGCATCTCTGCACCTTGGCGCACCAGGACCAGCAGTCGGACTCGCCACCCTCACGGCCGCCACCCCCGGAGGCACTAGGAAGGGCCTGTCTCGGCCCGCTCAGCGCTGTTTAGCCTACTGAAGCTTACTTCGAGCCTGCCTAGTGGCCTACTGGGGCTCATCGCATGCCAGCTTCTACTATAGATGAAGGAGAGAGACCAGGTAGGGTGCGTGCATGGTGAGGCTTGCTGTTCTCTTCTAAGCCTCGCGCAAGTAGCAAGGATTTCTGCAACCTTTCTCACAGCAAACCATGAAAGGCTGCTTGCGCATTTGTGAAAATATGAATGCACTGCAGGCACCACCCCCGCCGGCTGCCCGCCCCCCCACACAGGCGCAGACGGCGCAGGTGGCATCCGATTCTTTGAGATGTGTCTCGATTCGGCGACAGTCGGCAGTGCCAAAGTCAAGCGTGCGGAGTGGCCCGATGGCTCTTGAGCACTCAGAACTCAGCCACAGAATCAGTCAAGGGCTTAACATTGGCCATTCCACCCAGAGCCACATGCACAAGTAGACCTGCCAGGCCCAGCAGGCAGCACAGCAGGCCGGCAGGGTTGTTAAGCGGCTCCAGCGAATTCTTCTTGTAGTCTGCCATGAGGCTTTCTTGCACTAACCGGCAGTTCCGCCTTTACTGTCCCAGAATTTGGCAATCCCAGGCGCTGTCAATTCTCCTACACAGATATGTGCACACCTGAATCCCCAACCCCTTCTCACTTTCCGCACATGCCCTCTGTCTCTGTATTATACATATATATATATATATATACTGATATATATATATATATATACACATATATAAACAATTATGTATGCATAGAAAATACATGTGTGTGTGTGTGTCTGTTTACATGTGCGTATATATATATATTATTTATTTAATTTATTTTTACTTGCTTAGTGCTTATAGTTGTATTTCTATTTTTGTCAGCGTATGCATAAATTGTGTGAGCGAACGCGCACAGAGAGAGTG